AATAATTTTAATTCTATTTTATATAGACACGCAGTCATAGACTCGATACATTGTAATCAAATATTAACATCTACGTCTTTATATATTTCAGGTCTTGGTGATTCGTGGGGACATAATCCTCGTCCACGGAATTCCTACGACACCCTCGTCAAAGAACTCGGATCACATCTCCTTCAGGTAAATATTTCAAACTACGATGCTACTCAAAACTGAATAAAAAAAAATAGCAAGCATATTGCAGATTAAAACCTCTAGCAAATTCAGTGATTTCAGTACATCACAATGCGGGGGTTCTTGGGTTCATATCTCATGGGTTTCATACCCGGTACTTCACAACACGGGAGTTTTCGGGTTTACATATCTTGGGTTCCATACTTCACAACTCAGAAATTACTTGGGTGCATACCTCATGGGTTTCATACCCAGTACTTCACAACCCAGAGTTCTTTGTTCACATCTCATCGGTTTCATACCCAGCACTTCATAACACAGTAGTTCTCGGGTTTACATATATTGGGCTCCATACTTCACAACCCAGAAATTATTTGGGTGCATATCTCATGGGTTTCATACCCAGTACTTCATAACCCAGAGATTTCTTGGGTTCATATCTCACTGGTTTCATACCCAGCACTTCATAACACGGGAGTTCTCGGGTTTACATATATTGGGCTCCATACCCAGTACTTCATAACAGTGGGCACCAGTACTCACTTAATTCATACACAATTATTCTCAAATTCAATACATTCGTGGGTTTATCATAGTGGGCACCCAACGGTTTTCTGCTTTCTGGGAGTTGATACCAAAAGGATTGTAATGGATAATTTCAACAACATATATGTTCAACATATTTTATTTATTGCAGACACTGGATGGTTTTATTTTTGTCATAGCACCAGATGGAAAAATTATTTACATATCAGAAACTGCCTCGGTTCATTTGGGGCTATCACAGGTAAGCCATATGTATATGGAACGAAATAAAGAGACTAGTCTAATAGGGGGGAGTATTCTCTACCAGAGACTGTTTTATTTCATGTGGGGCTATCCCTATGTAATTGTGATTGGTGAGCCCATGGTGGAATCATTGTTATAAAATTCAGTGGCTAATCAGTAGTGAGGCTCCATACCAGTATAACATTTGCATAATGCTTTGCATAATTTTATAGATAATGCTAATTATTGAATCAATGATCCAACACTTTTTTTTCAAAAAACATTTTAACCTTCACACCATCAGCACAATATGTATCTCCTACAAACATATGCTATGATTGCCACAGCAAATAACCGGAATTCAAGTCACCATTGTGCTGGTGATAGAGTGAATAATAGTGGACTGTACCATTATAGATAGGGGTGAGAGAGAGAGATAGTTGACAGGGATACCTACTGTTTGAGTAATTCAAGTTCAACATTCTTTCTGTTCTCGTTCTCAGGTTGAGTTGACAGGCAATAGCATTTATGAGTACATACACCCAGCCGATCACGATGAGATGACAGCGCTTTTAACAGTACATCAACAATATCATACTCATGTTATCACAGGTAGGGTTATATACTGCTATAATGATCTCAAATAGAGGGAAATAATGATTTAATGTAAGGAAATATACTGAAATAATGACCTGGTATATATGGTAATATACTGAAATAATGACCTGGTATATATGGCAATATACTGAAATAATGACCTGGCATATATGGCAATATACTGAAATAATGACCTGGTATATATGGTAATATACTGAAATAATGACCTGGTATATATGGCAATATACTGAAATAATGACCTGGTATATATGACAATATACTAAAATAATGACCTGATATATAGGGCAAAATACAGAAATAATAATGACCTGGTGTATAATGCAATATCCTCAAACTATGAACTGTTTTATAGGGCTGTTAATATACACCCTTGAATAAATCTGGTGTTTTATTGGGCATATTAAAGACCCACAGTTATCATTCAGCTTTTGTTCCAACAAACAATTTATTTGAAATGTATCATGGGATACATTTTAACACAGTGCAGCAGCAGTTCATTATGCTTGTCTGAGGTGATATCCTGAATTGGCCAAAAATATTATACAGGTCAAATAATTGAAATCATCAGACCTGTCAAACCAATCAGTAGTGCAATACAATGATTCACTTAAAGGTTGTATGTATTGGAAGTAGGTCAATTTATGTATAATGACCTGTTGAGAGGAAAATCACCGATATAGAAATATGAAATATTACATCAATACTTTCTCCCATTCATTTGAGCATAATCATCAATCAATAACTGTAATATCTCTCGTAATGATGAAATAATTATGTGTGTTGTTATAGTCATGGATGAAATTGATGCCTAAATGAATATGGATGACTATAATAAATATAATGACTTCAAAAGGTCATTTTAATTATTATATCGTCACATTATGTTCAAATGTTCATGATTATGTAATATTCCTTTTTTTTTATTTTTGCCTGCAGACTTTGAAATTGAAAGATCGTTTTTCCTTCGAATGAAATGTGTATTAGCCAAACGTAACGCAGGACTGACCAGTGGTGGATACAAGGTAAACAACAATTTTCACGCGTAGTTACAGTAAATACTTTATTTGAATATCATAAAAACAAGACAAACACTGGAAACCAGGTTAAAAAGACACCTGATGATAGGCTTTGGCATCCGAAACGTTGTGCTGTTTTTTAATAGTAGTTTTTAGCTTGGATTTTTATTATTTTTATCAGCTACAACTACTATTTTATCGCCTTTTTAACCTGGTTTCCAGTATTTGTCTTGTTTTTATGATATTTCACTCCGGCTTCTTCAAGACGTTGTATCCTTCGTGGTTCTACTTAGAACAAAGTGCCATTAGAGTTTGGAGTCGCTTGTATTTGATATTTATTTGAATACAAAATGCATAGATATATATAAAATATGACACTAGAATTTGACATTTATTTTCTGCACATATTTTAGGTGATTCACTGCAGTGGTTACTTAAAAATTAAACAATATACAATGGATATTGCACCATTTGATGGCTGCTATCAAAATATTGGCCTGGTCGCTATTGGCCACTCCTTACCACCGAATTCTATCACAGAAATCAAGATGCACAGCAATATGTTTATGTTCCGAGCCAGCTTAGATCTCAAGCTTATATTCCTAGATGCAAGGTGAGTTGTAGTGTTATCATGGGTTAGTGGGGTGTTATTATGGGTTGGTGAGAGCATTATTATGGGTTAGTGGAGTGTTATTATGGGCTGGTTAGGGTGTTATTATGGGTTGGTGAGGGTGTTATTATGGGTTAATGGGGTGTTATTATGGGTTAGTAGGGTGTTAATATGGGATGGTGA